CCTCCTCCTCCGCCTCCTCCTCCTCCTCCTCCTCCTCCTCCTCCTCCTCCTCCTCCCCCTCCTCCTCCTGCTCCTCGTGCTCCTCGTGCTCCTCGTGCTCCTCGTGCTCCTCCTGCTCCTCCTGCTCCTCCTGCTCCTCCTGCTCCTCCTGCTCCTCCTGCTCCTCCTGCTCCTCCTGCTCCTCCTCGTCCTCGTCTTCGGTCCCCGACGACGACGACGACGACGGGCCCGCGTGCTCCGGCAGCAGACCCTGCCGATCGCTGAGGGCGCTCTCCACGCAGGGGCCGACGCCCGCGGCGTGGCGCTCGGGGCCCCGGGGGCGGCACGGGTCGGCGGCTCAGAGGTGGGGCCCCGAGGGATGGGGCCCGACGTTAGGATAACGTCGGGCATGTCCCTCAACCGATCCCCATCCCCAGCCCTAGCCGAACCTTCGGTGCTTGGCGCCCTCGCCCTCGGGGCCGCGCCCCTCCCGGGCCCATCTTCGAAGCGCCGAGCTGTGGCCCACCGCCGAGCGGCGCTGCGTCCAGCGCCTCTTACCCATGAATATTCTTTTTGTTGGGGTGTCTTTTGACTATTTTGCGCTTTTCGTCCGAAGTCCGCCTGTGGGGTGACATGTCCGACCTAAAGTTAGGAGGCAACTACTGGGAGGCCTTCGTCGGGATGTTTAAAGAAATATGAGCCCCATTCGGGGGCTGCTACGCCGGATTAGGCCGCACACCAAGCGGGATGAAGCTGGACTCAGCGGAATTAGTGGAGCGGGATGAAGCGGGAATGAACTGGATTTGGGACCAGGGCAAAATCAGAATTTGACCTCCCAGGAGTTGCATCCGAACCGAAGGATGTCCGTAGGTCGGAGGAAGTACACGTCGTTCGTTTAGAATCGTGCTCATCTCTAATTGTGCTCGTTTCAAATTGTTCCTGGCCCCCCAGTGGCCAGGAAGAGGCCCAGGATAGAATAATCAGAAATGAAAAGATCCTGCCCCCCCCCAAAAAAAACAAAGAACTCTCGAATACTTGGAAATGAACAATGTGTAGCGAGAAACAGGAAAGAGGAAGGCGCTGAAAGCAGAGCGGGCGTACGCCCGCCCCCATCAAGAGGAGGGGGGAGGCAGAGCCGCGCGACCCCTGGAAGCAGGAAGACGCCGAAAGTAGATTGGGGCCCGGGAGTCCCAAAACCGTCACCCTCTATTAGTACGAGGTTATTGTACGTCGTTCATTTCTCATCGTGCTCATTTCTAATTGTGCTCGTTTCTAATTGTTCCTGGCCCTCAGGAAGAGGCCCGGGATATAACAATTAGAAATGAAAGGATCTTGCCCCCCAAAAATCAAAGAACTTTCGAAGCATTAAACATGAACAATGTGTAGATTGGGGCCTGGGAGTCCCAAAATCCGCCAAGGTGCCTCTGGGCACGGAGTGAGCGCGCCCTCAGGTCCTTTGCCTGGTCCTGGGAGCCTCAACCCTCGCTCCAGCCTGGTCCTGGGAGCCTCAATCCTCGCTCCAGAGGTCTCTGAGGGGCCCAGACCCCAATGTCCGACATATCTTGGGGTTTCCCGCGTGCCCCCATAGGCTCCCCCGCGGCGTCCCGCGTGACATTTTCGGGCTGAAGACGACCCGAAGACGAGCCCAGGGAGATCCAGGAGTTCCCAGACCCCCAAGATGGCCCCAATATGGCCCAAGGGGCCTCCAAGACGCCTCAAGAGTCCTCCAAGAAGCCTTCCAAAAGGGCCCCAATAGGTACAAATCGCTGACGTTCCTAAGGATTTTCAAGATTTTGACGTTCTACCGCCCCGAAACAGCCGGAGAGGCCTGAGAGGGCCCCGAGCCGGCCTAAGAGTGCCCCCAGACGGCCAAAGAGGCGCCCAAGACGGCCCAAGAGGGCCCAGCAAAAAAAACCCAAAGGGGCCCAAGAGAGGGACCGTGGGATCACGAACCGAAGATCTAAGCCTTCCGCCCGAGGCCCCAAGGAGGCCCCAAGGGGCGCCCAGGAGGCCCCGAAAGGCCCCCCAAAGATCCGAAGAGGCCCCACAGAGGGCCCAAGGGCTTCCAAAACGGCTCAGGCCTCCAAGACTGTCTCCAAGAGGCCCCCGGGAGGCCCCCCATGAGGTCCCAACGAACATCTAATAATAGGCCTCGTACCCACAGCCCAGGCGCGGTGGCGGGATGGGCCGACGGCCATTTGACCTGGGCTGGCACAGAAACGGAAAGAGCGCTTCAGAAACAGAAACCGAAATTACTCACACCAGCGTTCGTACTGGGAGCCGTGGCGTTGAGAGCTTATAACGTCACCCCTCGCTCTTGGGAGCCTTGGTGTTCAGAGATTGTTGCGTTGCTGCCTGTTCCTGAGCCCTGGCTGGGCCATGGTGTCAGGAACTTGTTGCGTCGCCGCTCTCTGCTGGGAGCCTTGGTCTTATCAGCTTGTTTACGTCGCCGTTCGCTCATGGGAGCCTTGGTGTGGAGAGCTTCTTGCGTTACCGATCGCTCTTTATTTGGCGTCTCTGGGCCTTCTTGGGAGTCCTATTGGGGCCCTTTTGGAGCCCCTTTGGGGGCCTCTTGTGGCGGCAAAATCGCGAAAACCCGCGCCTAGAGCCCCGGAGCCCATCTTTCTGCATCATCTTTCGAGCCGGATCGATCTGCGAGGGCCCCGGGACCCGAAACAAGGCGCAAACGCCCGGCTCGAAAAAATTGAATCGCCAGGATCACTGGGTCCCTGGGCCAGGGCCCCACCCTTTGTCAGAAAGGTAGAGGGGAAATTTTCAAAAATAGTCAAAAAATGGTTTTAAAAAATCGCCCCCGGATTATTTTTTGACTATTTCTGAACGTTCCCCCTCTAGAGGGACGGGTCCGACTTAAGGCCAGGGCCCCTGGACGGGGATTTACCCCCCTAGATGGGGATGGGGACGGGGGTCGGACCGACGATGCTGAGTTTATCACCCTACGACCTACGGCCAGGGCCCCACCCTTGAAACCGCCGAGCTGGGAGCCCCCGCAGCGCCGGCGCGGCGCCCGGCGTGCCCGGGCCGTCGGACCGGCGGCCGCCAGGCGCGGCGGCCGGCGCGCACCTGCGGCCGGGGAGGTCGGGCGGCTGCGGCGGGGAGGCCGCCGCGCCCCGCGAGTTGCCGTGCCTTCGGGGGCGGAGAGCCTCTGCACCCCTAAATCGGCCTGTCCCTCTACAAGAGGAGCGTTCCCAAAAAACAAAAAATAGTCCGCGGACGAATTCTCACTATTTTTGAATATGTTTGACCATGTGGGGGGTATTTTTCATTTCGTTAAGGTGGAGGACTCCCCAGAGATCCAACGCATTGTCAAACATCAAGACGGAAGTTTTTCGTATCTTTCGGCCTCTGGGGGCCCTCGCTGGGCCCCGGGACCGTCAAAAGACAACTCGGGATGAAACATCGGTCCTGGGGCATGGGTCGAGACTTCCGGGGGCACAATATTGAACAAATCACGACATCGGATCTCTGGGTCAGGGTGAAAGCCAAATGGGCCTGTGCACTTCGAGAATCAGTCCGTCGTGTGATTCACCTTTTGCAGGTTCACGCCTCCAGATTCATGCCTTCGGGGGCGGAGAACCTCTGTAGGGGGACACGCCCGACCTGACCCTGTAGGGGGACCCGCCCGACCTGGACCTGCACCCCCCTTTGTGCGCGCCGCCAAGTCTCTCCTCGGTCCGGCCGTACGTGGGCTCGCCAGCTCTGCACCGTTCTCCGAGCATGTCCTCGGGGTGGGGGGCAAAGGCTCTGATGCTCCGACCTGTTGTAGCCTTGATCACCAGAAAGAACTTCGAGCACCCAAAAAAGTGCCGAGGCTCGATGGGCTTCACGTGTCGGGCCCTGGGAGACACTCGTCCGACACTGCTTCGACACTCCTTCGACACTTTCAGATTTCACCCTTTGCCTTACGTTGCTCCCATCCGTACTCAAGGACCACATCCCAGAAATAATTTCGAGAACGGTGCAGAGCTGGCGAGCCCACGTGCGGCCGGACCGAGGAGAGACTTGGCGGCGCGCACAAAGGGGGGGGGGGTCCAGGTCGGGCGGGTCCCCCTACGGGCGGATTATGGACGAAACATAAAACATACCCCCAAGATGCCCAAACATGTTCAAACATAGTAACACATTGTCCCCAGACTACTTTTTAGACTATTTTTGAATATTCGCCTGTAGAGGGACAGGCCCGACGTAAGGGCAGAAGGGGGAAGGGGGGGGGCCCAGAGATCCTGGCGTCCCAATTCTTTCGAGCCGGGCGTGTTCGCCCCCTGTCGGGCCCTGGGACCCTCGCAGATCGATCGGGCTCGAAGAAGGAAGCAGAAAGATGGGGTCCAGGGCTCCGGGCGTGACCTTTCCTGGTGTTGCAGCTTCTTCGCTGCGTCGGATCTCAGGGGGGAGGCTTCTTAGGAGGAAGCTGCTTTTCATAATGCGCTGGCCTTACATCGGGGACGCGCAAACATGGATTAGCGACCCATGGATCTGGCGCGCAGTCGCCAAATCCATGGATCCGGGGAGGTGCCCTCCCCAACATGCGGCCAGTGCCGCCTTGCTCGACGGCGGGAATCCGCGATTTCCCATGGAAGCGGGACCCGTCGCTAATCCACGTCCCCTTAATCCATGTCTGCGACCGCCTGAAGACAAGGCCCGCGCCTGCTGAGAACCAGGGGTGATTCCCCGGAGCCTTCCTCGATGCCCCTACTTCCTGCGCGTGGCGGGCAGAAGAACGTCCTCCAAGAGCACGAGACCCTCCGCCAGCCAAAGCACCCCAAACCACAACACCACGAAGGGCACCCTCCCCCAAGATGTACAATCTCGTCCAACAAGCACGGAGACCATGAGGGCACCCTGCCCAAACTGACCTCGATCTTATACCTCGGTCCGACCGCATTGAAAAGTCAAGACGTTTTTTTTCGGCCGCCTTCGGCCTCTCGCCGGGCCCCAGGGCCGTCAAAACACGGCTCAGGATGAACAAGCCGGTCCTCGGGAGTGGGTCGAGACTTCGGGGGCGAGGAACAATGTGCACCCAACTCTCCGAGGCCGCGACAAAAATGGCATCAGCTGGTTTTGGGGCCATTTTAGGCCTCCGGGGGCCCTCGAAGGGCCCCAGGACCGTGAGAAAGAGACTCGGGATGACAAGCTGGCCCTGGGTCGAGGATCTACTGACCCGGGTCAATCCCAGCCTGGGTCAGCCAGGCCTTGCAAGATCCTGCAAGACCCTGCGGGACCCTGCAGGGTCCTGGGCGCAAGCACGGGTCAATGCATCCCTGGCCCTGCAGGATCCTGCAAGATCTGGCACTCTGACTGACCCTCGTTTGCAATGGCCCCCGTCTCTTGAGCCCCGACTGGGGGCATCGCCCAGACCTCAGGAGATCCGCGCATCGAACCACATCGGCGCGGAACTTCTGCCCAGCGTGTCGCCGCGACGGCCCGTGGCGCCCTCCGAGGACCTCCCAGAGCTCCAGGGACCTCTGGGTCGCCTGCCTGCCCGAGCCCAAGCATTCGACGACGTGATTCTTTCGACGCGCGGCCCCGCAGGCCCCGACACACATACCCTGGGGCTAGTCCCTCTCTCTCTCTCTCTCTCTCCCTCTCCCCGAGCAACTTTCCTACTACCCCAGGGCCTGGTGTCAGGCCTCGGGGGGTCGAGATCGAGGAACAGAAACAGCAGAAACGAGACAGCAATGCGGTCGGGAACTTGTGCTTAGCGTGTCGCCGCGGCGGCCCCCGGCGACACGCTGTGCCCTGCCAGCGGACAGCGTGTCGCTCCGCTCCGCGGGGCGGGAGGCTCGGACAGGCTCGAGACGTTGACGCTAGGGAATGGAGACGTGGATAGCGCGTCGCGCCGAAGCGTGGTGTGCCAGGATCGGGGCGCTTGTCCCAGGGCTGCCCTGTGGTGGCAGGCGGGGGTAGAAACTTTACAGCCGCCCTGGGACGTACAGTCGGACTTGATTGGAGAGGATACGCGAGAGGACACAAGACCCTTCCGAGGGACACAAGACCCTTCCGAGGGCCACGTTGCCACAGAAATGCAGGCGGCATGGGTCGCAAGACACAGGACACGAGGGTACCCTTGATCTGGCAAGGTCGGCCTACTAATCCGGGCCGACTGTATGCGCCCCCGATGGCGGACAAATGTGCTTCATACCGTTCGAGAGGAGCTCACGGACACTTTTTGTCGTCCCCATGGCGCCCAAGCGCGAGCAATGCGGACATGATGCACCTCCCTCACTTGTCGCTACTGGGCGCTAAACGTCGCTATTGCGCGCTATCGCTATTTGAGCGCTGCTGGGCGCTATTTGGCGCTGTTGGGCGCGATTCGCCAATATGCATTCCATCCAAGGCGAGCGGGACCTTCTGTGATTTCTCTACGTGCGCTTCAATTTCTGTTCGCCCGCTGAGTGCCTGGAGCGCGAGCTGGGAGGGGCACCGAACGGGGCGCTGGACTGCGCAGGGCCCTCCGCCACGGCGCCGGGCAGCTTCGCCACCTGGGCCACGCTGGCCCTCAGATCCGGGCGCCGCAACTTTTCCACACTGGGCGTCTTCGCCCGGCTTCGGGCCCCAAGGCCCTCGCAGATCCACAGGTCGGGACACACTGCGCAAAAAGATGGGGCCCTGGGCTCCGGGTGTGACTTTCCGCGACGTCCTGCTTTTGTTTGCAGCGTCGGATCTTCGGGGCAGCCCTTCCCCGAGCGCAGCGGAGGCGGCCTCGTCAGGGCCCGGCGCGGATCCGCCTGGGTCCGCTGTGGCGCTGCGCATGCTCAGGAGCTCGCTCCGCCGCCTCTGTGTCTCCCTCGCGACCCGCTGCGCTGCGCTCCAGATGGGCTCGGAGCCCTCCCACGGCCCAAGAGCCGCCTCCATGAGCCCGAGGCTGCCGGGGAGGCCCTGTCCGCGAGCAGCCCTGGCCTGCGCCCAGGGTCTGAGCCAAGCTGCGGGCCCGCGGGTTCGCCTCTTCGCGTCGGCGGTGCTCGGCGTGGGTGCAAGCGACTGAACGCGAGGACAAACACGACCACTTCCCGAACCACCATGAGGGGCCATGGGAAGCCAATCTGGGCGCCAGCGCATCCCAACCGTGCGGGCGCGACATCATGATGACGTCGACAACGGCGGCAACGATGATAATCACAGCGATGGTGGTGGCGATGATGACGATGACGACGGTGAGGACAATGACGGCGCCGATGCTGGTGGCGACGATAACGATCACAATGATGATGTCCATGTGCAAGTGATGAAGGTGCTTGATTCGTGATGGTGGCAATGGCATGCGACGGCGATACTGGCGGTGATGCGATGGCGCTGATGAGGGTGATGATGAGGAAGTGCGCTCGTATAGAAGTCCAAAACATATGGCAGATTTGTTGTCGGACAGCTGCTGCTACATGCTTTTGAAGAGCTCTGCCCTGAAATGCTTCGAGAGCCAACGGCTTGGGAACGACTGCGACGCGCGCGCGCGTGTGGCCGGGGTGCTATTATTTTGGTGCTGGGCGCATGCTGGATCAACGCGGATGTACGGTGATGGCATTGGGTAAAGAAACCTTCGATAAGGAATCCAGGGTCTGGAAGCCAGTGGAAAGCAAATCGTGGGCTGGCCATGGATATCGCTGCCGCCCTCATCAGAGAGGGAACTCTGCAGGGTCTGAAGCCTCCTGGGCACGTTCCTTAACGAACGCCCCCACCGTACTGCGTCGCGTGAAGTATGCGCGCGTGGACGTTCTGCACTTTTTGAAGGTGTTTCTTGCGTACTTCCCCTTTGGGGGAGAACGAGTGTGCAAGCATTGTACTATTTGAAAAGGATGGGGAGGGCGTTGGTACGAAACCCTCCTGGGATGGTATGAGTTCTTACGGTAAATGAGAAAGGCAACAACATCATGTGTAATTAACTAACCGTGTCCCAGAGGGGCTTGATACGTTGGGGCCGGCGGGCGGTAGTCCATTCTGGTTTGGGGACAATGTACTCGGTGCAAGCTACGTGGTGCAAACCATGTGATGCAAGCTGTGTGGTGAAAGCCATGCGGTAAAACTGTGCAGTGTGAGCCATGTTAGGTCAACTACGCGGTGCAAGCAATGCAAGCAACGCGGTGGTATAGGCTAAGTTGTGCAATCTAGCGGCGCAAGCTATGCAAAGCCTAGTGCACGAGGCGTCTTCGGGCAGGCACTGGGCCCAAACCCAGAAGCGCCCCTGTCGGGGGCGGCCAAGAGGGCACAAATCATGGCCGGCAGCATGTGCGCGGTCCACGGGGAAGGGGCCTGGGGGCGTGACGCCACGAAATCTGAGGAAGCATCATATCATATGGCCCACGCCGTGATACCCACCGACCAGCAATCATCACCCCCCTCTTGGCCGCCCCCGGCCATGGGCGGGCACCGAGCAGAAACCCGGAGCTGCCATCCAGCACGAAGCGTCCACGGGGTGCGCGCGCACGGACGGGCACTGGACGAGCACCCGGAACACAATCCAGCTGCTTAAGAGATCCAGCAGAACCACCTACTCTGGGTATCTTAATGAGCGTGGGGGGGTACCCCCGCGGCGGGGGTCAACCTCGCCTCGTCGTCGCGCCGCGACGGGGGTCGGAACGCCTTTGGCGCGCGATGGCTGCCCGCGACGGGGGTCGATGTGGGGCTGTCGTCGGCGGGGGTGACGCTCCCCCCGACGCTTATTAAGAAGCTCGGAAGTGCAAGCACTGTTTGGGGAGCTCGCCATAGAAAGCGGCTTGGGCGCTCTCTCCGAACTCTTCGTCGCACGGCCCTTCAGGTCGGTGGAGGTCTCCTCGGGCTGATTTCACTGCTCGCTAAGCGCTGAACTCTCGAGAAACGCGAAGCTCCCGAAACTCACCACCCCGATTGGCATCTCCGACAAGACAAGCAGCTAAGCGTGAACATTTTTCGGAGCAGTGCGCGGCAATCTCCGAGCATCCTCGGCATGCAGCACTGGGCACGCTCGCTTATACGCCATGTTGCGACGAGGCTCACAGTCAACCCGCATGGTACGGACGGGTAACCTTCCCAAGGGTACCCTTGCATCCTTGCCCCTTCAGCCCATCCTCAGCGACTGTCGCTGACCAACCTCGCTCGAAAAACGTTCACATGGGCCTCCGAGGCCCTTGCACATGAACCTCGGATCGGCACTGGACCCCCTCCCTGGCGCGCGGAACTCGCCAGGGGCGGTGCCGGAGGCGCCGCCAGGGACCTAGAAATGCGCGGACCTCCGAGTTGTTATGATTATGCCATTGTTTGTTCCCCTTACGTGGCCCTCCAAGGCCGTCGCATCCCTACCGCGCATCCTCACTGCACGGGTCGACCGTATGTGCCATGTGGCGGCCAGCACGCCACCCGCCGCCCAACGCTCCGCCTACCCCACGACCTTCTGGAGGCGCCGGCCCCTTTGAGCTCTGGACGAGGAGGAGGAGCAGGATGAGGATGAGGAGGAGGAGGAGGGACGCCGGGAGACATCTGGACACCGCCCGGAAGCCGTCCAACAACCAAGCGTTAGGTCGTGCGAGTCCTCTTGCAGGCGGGTTTTGGAGAAATAATGCAAGATACTCAAAAAGTCTTCAAAACATACTCAAGATACTAAAAAGTCGTCCCCATACTATTTGTTGACTATTTTGGAATACTCCTCCTGTAGAGGGACAGCCCCGACTTAAACCCAGCCGCGATAACTGGGGGGGGGGGGGCGATCAGGGGGGGGGGGCAGTCAGGGCGGCCGAACAGGGGCCCCCTGGGGGCCCCAGAGGGAGGCCCCTGGGGCCTCCCAGGAAGGGCACCTCTCCCCCCCCCCCTCGTGCAGCGCGCCCCCCCCCGTCCCTCCGCGCCCCGCAGCAGAAGCCGCGCGCGGAGACGGGCGCCTCCCGGGGACACTCCTGCGAGAGCCTCCGCTCCCAGCGGCGCGGCCGGCGTGGCGCCGACCTCCGGAAGCTGGTGCCGCCGCCGCGCGGGCCGCCGCGGCGGGCCGCGGCGGGCCCGGCCCTCTGCGGCCCGGGCCCTTGCGGGGCTCTCACGTGGCTTTCTGCGGGCGGCACTTTGCTGTCAGTGCGCGCGGGGACTGTCGGCGGCGAGCGGGAGGGGAGAAGTGGGAAGGAGGAGGCCTTCTCGGAAGGCGGCGGGACTTCTCCGATCAGGAGCCCTCGCGCCTTCTGAGAGGTTTGCCGTGTCTTCCAGGAAGACCTGGGGGACTTCTCATGAGGGGCAACGATAGGGGGGGGGATGGACCAATGGGGGGGATGCATCGGCCTGGAATCGGCGACACATCGTCGATAGATCGGCGATAGGCCCCGGATTGTGAATCCGCACCTTCCTGGGCGGGGTGGGGCTATCGGGTCCCTATCGGCGATCAATTGGCGATTATGATTGGGTGTCGATGCATCCCCCCTATGCCTATCCCCCCCCTGTCGTTGCCCCCGATCTCATAAGGCCGGGGGACTTCCGAGTCTTCTGAGAAGGCCCGCCCCTTCTCGCTTGCCCCTCGGGCTCACCGCCGAGATGTGGCTCCCGGCGCTGGGGGCGCGCGGAGGTGGCGAGAGGCTGGGTGGTCCCGAAACGGTGCGGTGGCGGACCGTGCGGCGACCCCGAAATCTTCAGAGACGACCCAAGGCCAGAAGCTGTTCGGTCACCCTGGGTCCCCGCTGAGTCACCGGAGATCCGGCGCCGTGATTTTTGCCATGCGGGGGTCCCTGCAATTCCCGACCCATTCCCCAGGGGCCGTCGTTTTTTGACGGTCCCGGGGAGCCGGCGAGGGCACCCTAGAGGCCGAAAACTTCGAAAAGCATCCGTCTTGCTATTTTCACTACTTTGGATCATGCGAGGAGCTTCCGTCTTGCTCTGTCCATTGCTTTGGATCTCTACATGGGTCGCCAGACCGGGTGTGGTCCCCACACCGCTGGGGGGCCCCCGAGGGGAGGCAGCGGTGCCTCCCGCACGGGGCCGGAGGCAGCGGGGTCGGAGCATCGCACCGCATTGCAGATGCAACGGCGATGCATCTGCGATCTCGGGGTGGAGGAGATCGGGCGCCGGGTCGCGCGCCAGGAGGAGGAGGAGGAGGAGGAGGAGGAGGAGGAGGAGGAGCAGCAGCAGCAGCAGGAGGAGGAGGAGGAGGAGGGTCAGGAAGGTCGCCAGTGCATCGGTGCTGCGGCGCGCGCGACGCTCTAGCCCCGGCCTGGAGACGAGGCTGAGGCCGGGACAGCCTCGGACCGCCATCCGGAGGGGGGAAGGGGGGGGGAACGAGGTGGGGGTGGAGTGTGTCGGGCTTGCTCTGCATGCCGCCCCGCCGGCTGCTGCGCCGCAGGATTCTCGAGGAGGCACGGGGACTTTTGTTGCCCGTGCCGCGCGAGCCCAGGCTGCCTGACGCTGCGGGCCCTCGAGGCCCAATACGGTGGGGGCATTAGACAAGGAAACCTTCGATAAGGAATCTAGGGTCTGGAAGCAAGTGGAACCCCAATGGATACCACCGCCGCCCTCATCAGAGAAGGAACTCTCCAGGGTCTGAAGCTTCCTGGGCACGTTCCTTAACGAACGCCCCTACCGTAGCTTGCCTAAGAAAGAGAAAAAGGCAACATCGGACCAGGACAACTCAGGGATCTCTGAGATCAGGCGGTTGTGGAGGATGATTCGGGCTCCGCGGCAATTCCAAGGCGTTCTGGAACGCTCTGCGCTCTGGATTTTCGGGGCAGGCGGTCGGGGTCTAGTTCCAGCCCAGCCCTCAGAGTGTGCTCAGGGGACGTGTCAGGAAAAGTCGGCGGCCTTGTAAGCGCAGAGTCATTGAATGACTTGTCACCTTCGGCGGCCACGCTTTGCAAATGCGGGGCAACGCGAGTGATCGGAGCACCATCGCTGCGGGTACATCCTGCATCACCTGGGCCGCGCGCTGATGACAGGCGCGCGTCCGCCCTCTCTGCTTCGATTCGGCCCGCATCTCTTTGCCAAGAAAACCACTGCCTCGTTCCAATGGGACCTGGCGACATCGACAGTAGCGGCAACATTGCCACCAGCTCAAAAGCATCGCAATCGGCTGCCAAAACAACCAGTGTAACAATGCAAACCACAATTGGGAATGCGCAATTTCAAAAAGGCCTGGTTAAAGATGTATCGATGAATGTCACGCCAACGCGATACGATACTATCACATTATGGGCCTCACCGCAAGCAATTCCGCTACGAGCGCTTGTACGAAAAACCGGTAATCGCTGACTGTGCAGTTTCGAGCCGCAGCTATACTCATGTCAGAGAACGGCGACCGCCACATCATTCAGAGACAGCATCTGGCAGAAGCATGTCCGACGCGACAAGACAGCACCACGGGCAACTGTACTGCACACCAGAGGAGCCAGCGACCGCCGCCCTGTCCTCCCAGACGAGCAGATAAGCTCAGCAGCAGCACGACCCAGCGGAAGAAAAAACAGAGATCACCCACGCACCCAGACTGCAGCTTGCAACGCCCCGCCCCGGTCACCATACTGGCGGCCTGGCACAGGGGGGAAACACCGACCTGGCGTCAGCGACTGATCGGCGATGGGCCCCCGACAACGAATCCGCACCTTCCTGGGCGGGGTGGGCCATCGGGCCCCTATCGGCGATCAATGTGCGATGGGGGGTCGATCCATCCCCCCTCTGAGCCTATCCCCCCCTACCGTTGCCCTTGACACACAGCGAAGAAATTATGGAAGCCAAACCCGTCCGCTCCTTGAGCAGCTCCTCCACCGTGAAGCGACCGCCGCCGGTGTTATGCAGCAGGAGTAGGCCTCTGCACCCTCCTCCTGCTCGTGATGCATCGATCTCGCATGCTGCAAGAATCTACGTACCTCTCCTGCCCTCTACTCATGCTAGAAGCCTGTTTTCTGTATCTATATGCATGTGCATCTACGGGTGCCAACAACATGTTTATATGTATATGCTTGCCATCGTTTTCGTCTTGACATTGCTCGGTGCGCGTTGCTCAAGACCTTAAGCTGCGGGTTACCCCAGTCTCTGCCGCACCACATCCACCCTCTCCGCATATCAACGCCAAAGGCCTGGTTATTTCGATGTCGGTAGCCAAGCACTGATTGCACGGCAGCGCAGCCGATTCAGGAGTGGACGTGGCAGCAATGCTCCAGCCACGCAGCTTCGAGCCAGACGGGAGTCTCGCCCTCTTCCTCCCCGCCCTCCTCCCCCACTCCTTGCTGCGAGTCCCGCGCGTGCGCGAACCAGGCCGTGAGGCCTGGTCGCGCACGGGGCCGTGAGGCCGTGAGGCCTGGTCGCGCACGAGGCCGTGAGGCCTGGTCGCGAACCAGGCCGTGAGGCCTGGCCCCCCCGCCTCCTTGCTACGAGTCCTGCGCGTGCGCGCACCTTGCGGACCTGGACCATGGGGTCGGCCGAAAGATTGCAAAAAAGAAGGATTGCAAAAAAACCCTGGATTGCAAAAAAACCGAAGGATTGCAAAAAAACCCTGGGTTTTTTTTGCAATCCTGGGTTTTTTTTTGCAATCCTGGACCATGGGGCCGGCCGAAAGCAGGCCGCGACGGGGCCGTCGGCAGGCGGCGCGAATCTGCGCCACGGCCGGGCCGCGAGCGCACCGCGGCCGTCGACGGGCTCCGCCCGCGGAGCCCCGAGAGGCCACGGGCCTGGCGAGCCCCGAGAAAGACGCGCGGTCTGCGCACGCCTACGGGCACGCCGCGCCCCCCCCCCCCCCCCCGAGGAGGAGGAGGAGGAGGAGGAGGAGGAGGAGGAGGAGGAGGAGGAGGAGGAGGAGGGGAGGGGGAGGAAAAGGAGGAGGAGGAGGAGGAGGAGAAAAAAGTGGAGGAGGAGGAGGAGGAGAAGGTGGACGAGGAGGAGGAGAAAGAAGGGGAGGAGAAAGAGGAGGAGGAGGAGGAGGAGAAAGATGGGGAGGAGGATGAGGATGAGGAGGAGGATGAGGATAAGGAGGGGGATGATGAGGAATATTAGGAGGAGGAAGAGGAGGAGGAGGAGGAGGCCCTGATGGAACCCTGCGCAGGGCCGCTCTCTGAGTCTGCGCTGGACCAGACGACACCAGCCCACCTGCGGCCCCACGGGCCTCAGCATACAGCCGAACATCTGATCAATAATAACATATCTTAAGAAACCTGGCCCAGCTTCCTGGAAGTTTCGTAAGACGAACCTGGGCCAGGTGTTCGTGCTAATGCTGGAGGGGCGAACGCGTTCAAGAAACTGAGCCAATTTTCGGACAAGTTGGTTGAAAAACGCTGGCCCAGCGGTCTGGGAGGAGGTTTCTGAATCAGATGCTCGACTGTATACCATGAGCTCCGGCTTGGGCTTTCGCGTGCGACGGGCCGCAGCGCAGCATAGATGGCCGCAGGTGGGGTGGTGCCGTTTGTTTTCTGCTCGATGTGCCACCTGCTGAGGCGAGCTCTGAAGCACGTGCCGCTGCTGACCGCCTCCGTGGGCCCGATCCTCCGCTTCCCGAGGCCGCCGCGCACCGGGCTTTGACATGCAGCGTCTGGCGGGCCCATGCCGACTCCGCAGGAGTCGTCTGGGATCTCTGTGATGCCAGGCCTGAAGGGCCGCGAGGACCAGTTGGGAAGTTCGACGAGGAGTGGGGAGCTCCGGAGAACCCAAACTGCAAGCTCCCGCCTCGACGCAGGCCCTGCGCTGTCGGACGCGGCGCGACCCGCTGAGCCCTAAACGACCTCCGGCCTCGGAGGTCGCCAGAGCCTGTCGATCCCCGCCCTTCGCGTGGATTTTCGCTCCGCACCCATTTTTGTTGTTGAATTCTCATTTCTGAAGAATTATTCATGTTGATCCCCCCCACTGGTGCATACTGTTTTTTCTCAATCAAAGTGTGCAGCTCGACGCTCGCACCTTGTTTTGTTAGGGAAAGTCTTGATGCTCAAACTGGGCCCCTGGCCCCTCGGGTTACAACAACAACGGCTCCCGCCTGAGACTTCCTTACAATTTAGCCAGGACCCCCGCTCCCGCCCGAGACTTCCTCGCTTTCTATTCAGGAATCGCGCTCTCGCTTGGGACGTCCTTACAATTTATTCAAGAATCGCTCTCCCGGCGCTCTGGAGTCGCGCTCTCGCTGGAGACTTGCTGGCATTTTACTGAAGAATGGCCTTGCGTTGGAATTTCCTGCAATTTGCCCAAGCGCCGCGCTCCCGACACCCAGGCACCCAGGAGTCGCGCCCGTTGTGGCTCCATGTGCATGCCCTTCGTGGCCCCGCTGTCGCCATTGGTGTCCCCCTCACTGTCCTACGTGGCCCAGTTGCTACCCTCAATGGACCATCGTTGCCTTCTGTGGCCCCGCATTATCTGCACTTCGTGGCCCCCGCTGGTTCGCGCTCTCCGTGGCCCCATACGCATTCCCTTCGTGTCCCCGCTGTCGCCCTTCGTCGCCTACTTCGTGTCCTTCGTGGCCCTGCTGTCGTTCTCTCTCGCTCTCGCTTTCGCTCGTCGTCGCCGTCGTCGTCGTCCGTCGTCTTCGACGTCGTCGTCGTCGTCGTGGTCGGTCCCCTGTCCGTCCCTCTTGGGGTCGGGTCGACGGTCCGCGGCCGCCCCGCCGATCAGCGCTGCCGCTGGCCAGGCCGACGGTCCGCGGCCGCCCCGCCGCTTGCCGGGGCCCGGCCTGCAGGGAAGAAAGGTATACCCCCCAAAAGGGGTTCGATCGAAGACGAAATCGAGGGTTGGGAAATACGCATTATTGGACACTCGAGCATATAAGGGCGAACAATCTTAAAATTATTATTGTTGTTGTGGCTGTTTCTTTTAAGCCGGGCTATCATCAGAACAATAACTCCTGCGCGTAGCCGACGCGCGACGGAAGGGGCCCGAGTGGGCCGAACGAGTACGAAGGACGGGCCCCAGGAACCACAGACAAATGAGCGGAGGGACGCGACTGAAGAAGGGGCACCGAAACACCTAGGGCCCGAAAGCAGAGCGAAGGCTCAACTACAACAGTGATAGCACAGCGGCGCTGTGCATTATCGAGTCAATCCTGCTCCACCTGCTCACCTGCTCAGAATGACTAGCTAATCGCAATCTACAATCGGTGATAACAAGGCGGCACAGCTATGCAACATCGAAACTCATCCTGCCTCACTCAATCTCTCCACCCCACCCCCGTCTAAGGCATCTACCGTTTCTACCACTTCCGACGGTACTCCCTCCGAGGATCTCCATCGGTCCAGAAATCGGGAGGGCGGAAACTGTTCGGAGCAAACCTAAACGGAAGGCGCTGGGATGCAGAACCAGGAACAGCGTCGCTAGGTGTGCGACGCGAATCACAACGGGCTGCATTACCAGCAGCGCGAAAGACTTCATCAATATTATGTGGACGTGCGGCCTGAGGGTCATCACCTCCAGCGTCGTCGACACGATCAGAAACTTCATCGCGGAGCTCAGGCAGAGCACCATCAGCACCGCCAGGAATACAACGGCCTTCCTCGCCTCCGTCGGCAGCCAGACGAGGTTGAGACAAGACTTCATGAACATCATCGTCATCGCGTAGAGTGTCATGTATGGCTTCATCACCCGCAGCACGAAAGACGTCACGAAGAGGTGGACGTACGGCCAGAGGATTATCAACAACATTGTCTCCAGCGCCGTCCAAACGATCAGCAACTTCATCAGGGAACTCAGGCAGAGCACCATGAAGAGGATCGGCCACTTGAAAACGAAGGAGTTCACGTCGGGCTGCATCTGGTTCCCGACGATCGGCGGCCTGATGAGCGTCAGCACCACCAGGGAAGCAGTCGCCAGGATGAGCTTCAGCTTGAGCAGGGAGCTCGTGAAGAGAAAGGTCGCAAGATGAAGGGTCGTAGGCTTCTCGCCCTCGGATTCCGGAAGGACTCCAAGGGCCGCCAGAAGGACGTCGGCGTGTTGGCCCTCGGCGCCGTGCAGTCACACGCGGAAGTTCTCGAGGACAGCGTGCCGGACGCCCACGGGCGCTGCAGCCAGGGAGCATAGGCCTGGCGGGGGGGCATGCCTAGCCCAGTTGGCGTGGGTCGCGGCCTCCAGCGCCAGCTCCCCCAGCTCCGCCAGTCCCAGCAGCTGCGCGCCTCGCGCTGCTGTGGCCAAGGAGGCTTCATGTCCGCCGACGCGATCGCCCACAGACCAGTGCACGGACAACGAGTGGCGGAAGATGGCCACCCGCCAGTGCAGGGCCTGGGCACGCGCTGCGCCAGCTTCAGTCTTGCGCCACTCTCGCCGAAGGCGTCGAGCAAGAGTGCGAGCGGAAGCCGCCGCCCACTGCTTGGCGGCGCCCTCCCTGGCACCCGGCGGCACCCAGCAGGGTGCAGGGCAAGTCTCCATGTCGCGGCCGCTAGCGTGCACCCGAGCGCCGACGGGCGCGCGCCGCACGAGGGCCTCCCGAAAGCCAGGCTCGCGTGAGCCAACATGGCCACGGAGGCCCAAGACGTCATGATTTCCTCGTGGCGTGGACCCCTAAGGGTCTCGGCTCGACCCATGCCCCGCGACCCGTTTTTCGTCCCGAGTCGTTGTTTTGACGGCCCCGAGGCCCAGCATGTGCCATCCTGAAGCCGAAGATAGCGTCAAGCCTTCC